TTACAATTTTCCGGAAGGATTGTAAAAACATGTACTACATTTCCGGAATTGTAAAAACATTAAATATAACTTTCCGGAAAACATTGTAAAAACATTTACACAACTTCCGGAAAAACATTGTAAAAACATTAAAATAAAATAATGTTTCCGGAAAATTTGCAAATGTTTTTATGCTTCTCAAACATGTAGAAACATTAAATAATATAATTCCGGAAAACATGGTGTCCATGAAACATAAATTAAATTAAAAACATTTACTAATTCCGGAAGGATTGCAAAAACATGTATTGTATTTCCGGAATTGTAAAAACATTTAAAAAAACATTTTCCGGAAAACATTATTATTTTTAAAAACATTTACACAGATTCCGGAAAACATTGTAAAAACATTAAAATTATAATGTTTCCGGAAATTGTTCAAATGTTTTTATGTTTCTTAAACCGTGTAAAAACATTAAATAATATAATTCCGGAAAACATTATTTTAATGTTTTTATAATGTTTCCGGAATTAATGTTTCTAAAAATAATGATGTTTTCCGGAAATTTCACAAATGTTTTATGTTTCTTAACCCGTGTAAAAACATCAAATAATATATTCCGGAAAACACTATTTTTAAAAACATTTATTTCCGGAAGGATTGTAAAACATGTATTATACATATTTCCGGAATAGTAAAAACATTAAATAATATAATTCCGGAAAACATATTATTCCTGAAAACACAAAATTAATTTTTAAAAACATTTATTAATTCCGGAAACATTATAAAAACATTAATAAAATTTCCTGAAAACATTGTAGTCATTAAAACATTTAATACTATCTCTCTCTCTTTATTAAATGTTTTTAACAACAATGTTTTCAGGAAATTTGATTAATGTTTTTATAATGTTTCCGGAAACTGTGCAAATGTTTTAAATTAATTTTGTTTTAAAGAATGTTATGTTTTCCGGAATTAGTATATTATTTAATGTTTTTACAGCTTGTGTGGGCGTATAACAAATATGTACCAATCAGAGGTGGGTCGGAACAGTCAGAGGTGTTGGAAATCGGAACTGTCGGAAATCGGAAATGGCTCAAAAGTCGGAACTCGGAAATCAAAATTTTTTTTCGGAAATCGGAAGGAAAAAACGTCGGAAATCGGAAGTCGGAAATTGGAATTCCGACCACCTCTTGTACCAATAGAATTTCTAGACAATAATTTAATGGGAATCTATGTATAAGTGAGAGGTTCCCTTTGATAAATTTAAAAAAGAATTATTCACCAGTAATTCTATGTTTTATCAAATATTTTTCACAACGTTTAATTGCTTCCTCAATAGATCTAGGCCAATAATCTGTATTCCTTTTTCCAATTTCTGTATCATATTCCAATCGAATAAAAACATGATTGCAATCAAATGTACTTCTAGATTTATCAGCAGCACAAGAAACTCGAATTTCACCACAAGCACCATCCAAAAGTTCAAATATTTTGTTTTGTAAAAGTGTAGATTCACTGTAAAAATATTTAAAAAAAATACGTTAATTTTTAAAATATTAGTTTTAAAAAATACTAGAGTTAGAAGAATTACAATTCCGGAAGACATTATTTTCACAATTTCCGGAAAACATAAAACACGATTTTTCCGGTTAACACGATTTCCGGAAACATTTAAATTACAATTCTACAAATGTAATTCCCGGAAAGCAAGTACTAAAAACATTTATTAATTTGCGGACAACATTTAACAAATTACAATTCCGGAAAACATTAAAATACGATTTCCGGAAACATTATTATTATATTCCGGAAAACATTATTTTAAAAACATCTATTTATTACATTTTCTGGAAAAACAACCTTTAAGAACATTTGAAATGATTTTTTCCGGAAAACATTAAAGTACTATCACAAAATCCCCTTTTTAGAATTTCACCAACAAAAATACAAACTACTTACTCGGCTCCCGGACAATGCGTCAGTAGAAAATGCGTCAGTGGACAATCGGTCAGTATTGATATAAAGTGATTAAAAGTGATGATATAGAGATAAAAATTTACTGATATCACTCCAAATCGGCTGATCTCCATCTTAATCTAAGCAAATATCTTAATATCTCTGTTAATCCTACCAAACCCGAGATATCGGCCTTAATCCCAACAAATCACTCTATATCTCTTTTACACACTAAAATCTCTTTATAAATACTTCTAATCTGTTTATATGCCATCTTTATTCTTTTTATATCATTTTTTATCTCGTTATATCATCACTTTTAATCACTTTATATCAATACTGACCGATTGTCCACTGACGCATTTTCCACTCACGCATTGTCTACAGACGCATTGTCCGGACACTACTTACTCAATTTGAGAAAACCGTTCATGAATAGTAGTAATAGAAGAAATGTTTTTAAGTGAACACCGAACAAATATTCTTGAAAGTCCATGATCATTAGTTCGAAATATTAAATATGGGGAATCTGGATGTGTTAAATTTTCTGCTCCAAGAGGTAAACGGTAAAGTTCAAGTTTCTCTCTAGCAGAAAAATCGAGTGTTGTTGTGTAAAATGGTTGTTTTAATTTTGTGGATAACATTAAATCTATATATTTTGGTTTAACGTCAAAAAAATTTGACCTGAAAATTTGAAAAAAATATTAATGGAAATATATATTCTAATTTTAAGATTGAACTTGATTTTTTAAATTTAAAAAATTATTCCTAAACTATTGCATACGAGTGTTCATGCTGTGGAATAATTCATTGGATAGGAGATGGAATAGAACCATCATGGAATAAACCCTGACCGAAGCACAAACGACTGTGCCACCATGCAACCCGATGATTGGGTTTATGTATATTCTTTCTGAAAGTGCGGACACACACAAACAATTTCCGGAAAATTAGTAATTGTTAGGTCTAAAAGAATCCGCCGGAAATACTTATTTTTAAAGATAAAAATTTCCGGAAAAAATTAATTTTAAACATTTTCCTGAAAACATCTACTGTTTTTAAAAACATTTGTATTACAATTCCGGAAAAACATTTAAAATTAAAAATTCTGGAAAACATTACTCCCAAACAAGTTCCGGAAAGGAATAATATTTAAACATACATAAATTACAATCCGGAAAAGATTAGTATCAAAAAATTTACAATTGTTTTTTCCGGAAAGCATTTAATTTTAAAAACATTTCCGGAAACTTCAATAAATGTTTTTAAATGATTTCCGGAAATTGTAATGTTTTATCAATCCGGAAAAAATTAATTTTCAAAAACATTTACAATTGGTTTTCCGGAAAACATTTATAAAAACATTTGTATTACAATTCCGGAAAAACATTATTATTTTTAAAAACATTTATTACAATTGTAAAAATGTAAATAAACTTTCCGAAAAAATTGTAAAAACATGTATTGTATTTCCGGAATTGTAAAAACATTGAATAACTTTCCGGAAAACATTATTATTTTTAAAAACATTTGTATTACAATTCCGGAAAAACATTGTAAAAACACTTAAAATAATGTTTCCGGAAAATATTATTATTTATAAAAACATTTGTTTTACAATTCCGGAAAACATTATAAAAACATTGAAATAATGTTTCCGGAAAATATTATTATTTATAAAAACATTTGTTTTACAATTCCGGAAAACATTATAAAAACATTGAAATAATGTTTCCGGAAAACATTATTACTTATAAAAACATTTGTATTACAATTTCCGGAAAACATATTTATTTACAATTTCCCTTAAACACTTATTGTATTTGTTTCCTCCCGGAAACAACAAGGAGAAAAAAAAGTTTTGGATTTTTTCCCAACGAAATTACCATTCAGAAATTTTTTTTAATAATTCCCAACTTACCCAAGACTAGCAGTAAACCAATGTTTTAAATTTTTAGCACATTCTTCACAATTTTCATTTTGTTTTTCATTATATTTTATAATAAAAAGAAAAGTATCTTCAACATTAATTTTTGCAGTGGATACTTGCATATTGTCTAATGCGGTAAAATTTTCTTGGCAATTTTCGTCAAATGAATCAATGTTGTTGATAACCGTTATATAATAATTGAACGCTTTGTTATTTTGATTTTCAGTTTCTAAAAAAGTATTTTGTTAGAAAATTATTACAAAACATTTTAAAGAATTTACGGAAAACATAGAAATTGTAAAAATATGTATTGTATTTCCGGAATTGTAAAAACATTAAACAACTTTCCGGAAAACATTATTATTTTTAAAAACATTTATTACAATTTCCGGAAGGATTGTAAAAACATGTATTGTATTTCCGGAATTGTAAAAACATTAAATTTTTATATTTTTCGGAAAACATTATTATTTTTAAAAATGTTTATTACAATTTCCGGAAGGATTGTAAAAACATTAAAATTATGTTTTCGGAAATTGTACAAATGTTTTTATGTTTAAACCGTGTAAAAACATTAAATAACTTTCCGGAAGACATTATTATTTATAAAAACACATTTATACAACCGGAAACATTATAAAACATTTAATAAAATAATAATGTTTTTCCGGAAATTGTAAAAACAATTTAAAGATTCCGGAAATTATATTAAATGTTTTTACAAAAATATTTCCGGAAACATTGCAAAACATTACTGAATAATAATTTGTAATGTTTATAACGCATAAACATGTGTTTTTACAAATATTCATTAAATTTCTGATAAAAAATATGTTCATACAAACATCATTAAATTAATTTTAAAAACATTTGTTAAAAATTTCCGGAAAACATAGTTTAATTTGTAAAAAACATTTATTAAAATTTCCGGAAAACTTAAAATAACTAAAAACATCAAATTTTCCGTAAAACATTAATTTAACAATTTACAGAAAAATTGTAAAAACTTGTTACTACAAATTTCCGTAAAACATTTGTTTTCACAAACATTATTACAATTTCCGGAAAAACTACAAACTTAAAAACCTACCACTATTATTAATATTCGAACTTGTTTCTTCATTATTACTAGGAGTTTGTTGTTGTTGTAATCTACAATTAAAATATGGGGAAGACGAATTTAATTCAAATTTAAAAAACATTGCATCTTTATTTTTTGAATAGAAATAAACATTTTCTTCATTAATTAAAAATAATTTTGAGAAAAATAATTTTATTGCAAATTTAGAAATTTCTTCATTTGAATTAAAGAAAAATTCATGAAGTAAATTTAAATATTCTGCTTTATTATTTTCTTTAATAAATTGGCGTAAATATTGTTGTTGGTTTGTAGATTCTTCATTATTATTAAAATATAGTGAAATAAATTCCTTCATTTCATATTGTTTTGAATTAAACCGAATCTGAAAAAATAGGTATATTATTCAACCGGAAAACATTTATTGTAAAAACATTTCATAAAAATTCCGGAAAAACATTAGTATTTTTAAAAAATATTTATAAAAATTTCCGGAAGGATTGTAAAAATAGACTTTCCGGAAAGATTATAAAAACATGTATTGTATTTCAGGAATTGTAAAAACACTAGATAACTCTCCGGAAACATTAGTTTTCTATAAACATTGATTCCGAAAGAATTGTAAAAACATATATTGTGTTTCCGGATTTGTAAAAACAATTGAAAAACTTTCCGGAAAACATTAGTATTTTTAAAAACATTTATTACAATTTCCGGAAGGATTGTAAAAATATAAATAAACTTTCCGGAAAAATTGTAAAAACATGTTTTGTACTTCCAAAATTGTAAAAACATTAAATAATTTTCCGGAAAACATAATTATTTCTAAAAACAAACAAAACATTCAACAAAACATTCGACAAAACATTAGGAAAACATTCAACAAAACATTCGACAAATCATTAGGAAAACATTCAACAAAACATTCAACACAACATTAGGACAAGTTCAGAAAAACATTGTAAAAACATTTAATAAAATAAAATGTTTTTCCGGAAATTGTAAAAACAATTTAAAGTTTCCGGAAATTATACTAAATGTTTTTACAAATATTTCCGAAAACAATGAAAAAAATTATTACATTTTCCTGAAAACATTATTAAAAAAATTTTTACAATTCCGGAAACATTGCAAAAACATTACAAAATAATAATTCCGGAAAACATATTATTCTTAAAAACAATCAACAAAACATTATAAAAACATTTAACAACAAATTTTCCGGACAACAACAAACAAAAACAATTTTAAAATTTCCGGAAAACATTGTAAAAACATTTTTTAAGTTTTCCGGAAGACTATAAACATTAGTTTTAAAAACATAAAACAACAATCCGGAAAGCGCATTTTTCGGGAAACACAATTTCCGAAAAACATTATTTAAATATAATATAAAAACACCAAACATACATTTGAACACAAATTTGAATAAGAAAGTTGATGCATTTTGTTGAGTATTCTTCTAATATAAATAGCAATAGGTTCAATTTCTTGATTAAACATATTAGCTATTCGTTTTAAAGGCATTTGTAATTTAATAATTGACTGGTCATCTAATCTTGACAATAATTCTTTTAAAAAAACATTTTTGTCCAAAACTTTTGTGTGTGAATAAACCATCCGAACAACTCTTTAAAAATTAAAAATAATAATGATTTTTAGAGGAAAAATTTATTACAATTTGCTAAAAAAATGTAAAAACATGTCCTCTGATAAAAGTTCCGGAAAACATCATTTTTACAATTTCCCGAGACAAAAAAATTCATCACAATTCCGGAAAACCTTTTAGAAACTACACTAAACTTTATGGAAAACATTATTAAAACAATTTCCGGAAATTGTACAGGGTGACCCAAAAAGTTTAGGACAAAAGTAATTTTGCCATAACTTTTTTTCTCGTAAATATTTTTTCATATTTTTTCGTTTATTTTGTAGCTCAATTAATTCTCTATCATATAGTAAAATTAAAAATTATTTGATTCATGATTAAGAAAGTTATGTAATTTTAGGTACACCATATCAAAATTTTCCCCCCAAAATTTTATTTTCTGTATCTCAGAAAGGAGAAGTCCAAACGGGATGATCTCAACAGAATTTAATTAAGATCATTAGCGAACCGGACAAATCTGAAAGATAAAAACTCCAACTCCTACATGGATGGCTCTGAGTAGATGTAAATCAGTTTTGGGAGGAATGCGATTTTCCCATTTTGGGAGTGTTACGCGCAATCGAATATCTCTTTAGGCGTTAATCTGAAAAATTTTTTTGCTTTATGATTTCTATAGATAAAGGATTGCTCTAGATGCCGAAAAATTTTTTTGTAATTCCTGCAATCTGTTCTAATGTTATAGGCAAAATGCCTCAAAAAAGGGTGCGACCTGGAGCAATAATTTTTCGCACTTTTCTTTAATCTTATCGCAAAGTAGAATAGGGAAAATTCTAAAAGATTTTTTTTTATTTTATTCTCCATTTAGTTTTCTATAATTTCATCATTATTCGATCTTATTATCTTTAGATTGAATAAAGTTATGGCATAAAAGGTTTGTCCTAAACTTTTTGGGTCACCCTGTAGACAATGTAATATTACAATTTCCGGAAAACATTACTATTTTTAAAATTTCCGGATATAATGTAAAAACATCTCTTCTAATAAAAATTCCGGAAAACATTTTTATCTGTAAAAACATTTGTGATTTCCGGAGATGTTTCCAAGAAAAAGTTTTGTATGTTTTTAGAAATGTTTTCCGGAAAAAATGTTTTGACAATTAATGTTTTCCAAAATTAAAATAAATGTTTATAATGATTTTTCCGGAAAAATACAATTGTAAATGTTTTTACAATTATCCTTTTTCGGATTGTAATTTATGTTCTAAATCCGGAAAACATTACTAAAACAACTTCCGGAAATTATAAAAAATGTAAACATTTATTAAATTTCCGGGAAACATTTTCTCTAAAAACATTTGCAATTTCCAGAGATGTTTCTAAAGGATGTTTTTTATGTTTTTAAACATGTTTTCCAGAAAAAGCTGTTTTGACAAATGTTTTCCGGAATTACGATGTTTATAAAAATGTTTTCCGGAAAAATACAATTGTAAATGTTTTTACAATTAATCTTTTCCGGATTGTAATTTATGTTCAAAATATTATCCCTTTGGAAAATGTTTAGAATTAATATTTTCCGGAAAATGCAATTGTAAATGTTTTTCCGGAAATGTAGTTCATGTTTCTAAAATAAATCTCTTCCGGAAAAAAACAATTGTAAATGTTTTTACAATTAATTTCTACCAGATTCTAATGTTTTCCGGAAAATACAATTGTAACAATTCCGGAAAACCTTCTAAAAGCTTTTTAATATTATTCTTTTCCGGAAATTGTTTAAAATTAATATTTTCCGGAAAATTAAATTACCAATGTATTTTTTCCGAATTGATTTTATATTTTTTTATTTTCCTGAAAACATAATTTATTGGATAGGGTCGTTTGGGCGCCTGCATCTTTGAGCGCGCGTTATCAAAAAAATATAAAAAACCCCACCTTGAAGGGTCAGAAATGATTGATTTTATTGAAGAAACACCTTTATCATAAGAAACGTCTTGAAAATGATGTTCAATATCGATAAAGTTTTCTAGAAATTCAGAAATTACAATTTGTAAATGTCCAAGTAGACCATCTCCAAATCTGTGTGGGAAAATTTTATTTTATTTATTAAAATTAATTTTTGTGGGATTAATAAAGTCAATATACTAGAGTAGGGTAACTGTTCGTACATTGAAATATCCCGATATGTCCGTCTAAATATGTCCGCGTGCCAGGCCGTGACCAGATGATTATGGGGTGTGCCGCCAAACGTTCGGCTTTCCCAAAACGAGTGTGCGCAATTTTTTGGCGTTCCTGGGGAACCTTTGGCGTTCCCCCAATAAAGAAACGTGCGCAAACTTTTTGCGTTCCTAACGCAAATTTTTTTGCACGTATCAGCGATTTTTTAAACTAGGGTAGAACCCCGTCCCCCGACAAACTTTTTAGACAAAACCCCTGACCCAAACACCGAAGACTCTACCCCATCACCCCGATCCCCGAAGATCCCGCCCCCAAAGGCTTGGGGTGCTACTTGATTTTAAACCAAAACAACCAAAAAAACCCCCCCCCCTCACCTTTCACAAATTTTAATAAGAGATTCAAAATATTGTTTTTCAATTCCCAATTCTGTAGGATTTAGAGTACACAAATAAGATTCCATTTCTTCTGCCAATTCATTTGCTGGGAATGTTTGGTGGTTAACGTTAGAAATTAATTTTTTAATTTTTGAGTATGAAGACATTCGACAAATTCGACTTTCGACAGCATACAAAAAAACTTTGAATAGAGCATATGGGAGCTGTGGATTGTTTAAAACGTTGTAAAAATCGTCTACTAGACGAACAATTTTTTCGTGAAAATAAGGCTCTGGCATACAATAACCAGACAAAATGTCTTTACAAGTCTGTGTTAAAAAATTGAATAAAAAATTAGTGTGTAAATTTAAAATAAATTAAAAAAAATTTTTTTTAACGTCCGCAAAAATTTTTTAAAGTCCGCAAAAAATTTTTTATCCGCAAAAATTGTCCGCAAGTTTTTTGCGGACAAAATTTTAACCGCAAATTTATCCGCAAATTTAGTCTCTAATTTTTATCCTCACAAAATTTTCTTAAAATTAAAAAACTACCAAAATGAGATCCTCAAATCGAGTATCTAATCGACTCTTCCCTCTATCAAGCACATCTTTGGTTATAGCAGAATCCCATTCCTCCATCCTCCCAACAAAATTTTTAGGTTTTTGTGTTGAAACATCATCTTGGTCTTCAAGTCTAGCAATTAAAGTGCCTGGGAAGAGTACATGGCCTGGTTGGGCTACCTGGAAAAAAAGAATGATTTTTTGAAGTTTGTCCGCAAACTTAATCCGCAAAAATTTTTTTTGTCCGCAAATTTAATCCGCAAAATTTTGAAAAATGCTTAAAAGAAGGAAGAGGATTTTTTGGCTCTATCGGCCCTCTGAAATTTCCAAAAAAAATTTTTTTAGACTTGAGAACCTATAAATGTCAAATACCCCCTCACTAATATCCAAAAACGGAGCAGTTCAACTGAGTCCCGGCCCCATAACTCACGTACGGATTGATAATTTTTAATGGTTTTGGTACCATTTGATAGAGCATTAGATGGACTATAATATACCAAAAAATCAAAATTTTCGATTTTTTGGAAAAAAAGTTATGATCTAAAAACGAACTTTTTCAAAAAAAAATCTGATTTTTCGGCACTTTATCGATCATAACTTTTTTACCAGTCGGTCAGAAATTTTGATTTTTTGGTATATTGTAGCCTATTTAATGCCCTATCCAATGGTACCAACAACATTAAAAATCATCAACCTCTTGATAAGTTATAGGGTCCGGGACTCAGTTGAGTCGACACTCAATTGACCAGGGCGTCCCGGATTCGACCATTTTTAACAAAGTTATAGCTCTGCGCTACATTGGGGTGTAGGGCTGTGCGCCATTTTTTCAAATTTTTAAATCACGCCAAATGCCAAAATTCGGCCAAAAATGGATGCCAACGTTAAACGCCATGACGCATAGCCCTGTTGGGGGTGTACCCGTTTAACACCATAAGTTTCAAAAAAATTCCAAAAAAATTTTTTTCCAAAACACACACACACAAACTATACCTGTATAAGCCTTCCACCAGCTTTAGACACTTCCAAATTTATAACCATTTTCATTGATTCCATTTCTGCATAAACTTCCCCAACAGAAACATAATCCCCCTCCCTTTTTAAATATTGCATAAAACGTCCAGCATTTTTTGAACGTAACATTGATGGATCATTTTCTTTTTCGAATATTGTTAATGTTCTTCCAATAACGACTTTGAAACGTTCAGACTTGAAAAGAAAAAGGGGAAAATTTAGAAAAATTATTTTGGTGTCCAAAACCCAGGGAGTCTTCAAAATGTCTCCTTTATTGTCTTCTCCTCAACTTGGGGGAGGGGGGCCAGGGATGGATCGGACGGGGGTTACCCGAAATACTCGAGAGCCGAAACCCGGCCTTTTTTCAATCCGAAACCCGATCTGAAGAGGATTTTTAAAACCCGATCCGAAATTCGACCCGACCCATCCCTGCTTGGGGAATGCCACCCAGAGATGTCAATGTATAAAGAAAAAAGTAAGATTCCAGATTGGGTTTACAAAAAGTTCCTGGATAGGGGTACGGCAAGGGAGTAGCTAGGGGGTCGATAACAAGGTGGCTAAAATGGGGTGTTCGCCAAAATTTTGGCGTTTACCTAGGCGTTCCGGACGTAAATTTTTTGAATTTAGACGGTCAAAGCTCAATCCCCTCCTTAAAATTTTCCCTTTTCCCCATTTCAAAGTGGGAGAGGGGGGAGGGGGGGGGGACTTTAGCCCCAGAAGCCCCCCCCCATATGGCTCTTCCTTGAGGTAAGGGTCGAAAAATAAGCCCGATTCTTTGGGTAACCCGTAACATCCCGCTTTAGAAAAAAAAGTTTCGTTATAAAAAATGTTCCCACCTCCTCCTCCAAATGGCAAGTATAAGCTTGATGTGAATAAATAATAATTAAAGTTCCATTCCCCAATTCTCTAACAATTGTAGTTACAACCGAATCATTTAGACGAACCAAATAATTTATTGGCCCAAATTTATTAACCATAACGCTGTATTTTATGTTTGAATGAACTAATTCTAATTCCCATGTTTCTGTTAATCCAGATTTGGGTAATATTTGTCCACGTTCTAAAGCACTTTGAAATTTTGAAAATACTTCTGATATACGGGTATAACCAACTGGAGAAAGGAAAGAAAATAAGAAAAAATTAATTCTAACATTAAAGTGGTTGGAATTAGAGAGCAGAATTTTGAAAAAAAACCGGAAACGGGAAAGTGTAGCAGAAGAAACCCGGTCGGAAACCGGCACCGGGAAAACAGGGATTTCCCGATCCTAATTTCATCCCGGCATCTTCAAAAAAACGGGACCGGGTCCCGTTTTCCCGTTCCGGTCTCTAGTTGCAACTAGGGATGACACGGGTTAGACGAAACCCCTGACATCCGGTTGCGAAATTTATGAACCCTCCAATCTCGCTTTTCTCAACCCGTGACATCCCTAGTTGAAAGTAGGATTATAAAACCCGAGACTAACCCATAACTTGGATCCAACCTTGGTTGAACGGAAGAAGGAAAGCTTTCGGACCCATTCCCAGACCTCTTGGACCTATAACAGATTTCTCTAATACATCCCCCTAACCACTCAGGTAGAGCTTACTGTAAGTTCTGGTTCCGGTCAAAAGTTCAGTTCCGATTAAATTTGCGGTTCCGATGAAGCACTACTCTCGGACCCATTTCTGATCCCTCTTTAAAAAATGAAAAAAAAAGAAAAAACCTAAAGTAGCCCCAATAGCCACAGTAACATGTACAGGCAATTCAGGTGCAGATTGTACCCTAGCAGCAATTCTAGCATCTAACCAACCCGTATGAAATTCATTATTTTCAAATTCTTTATCGTGTAATAATCCAACCAAATAATTTACTTGGGAAGTAAAAGTGGCCCGCAATTCTAATTCTTTTAAGGCACATAATAGAGCGGAAATGGCTTCGTATCTTTAAGAAAATTTTTGAAAAAAATTTATTATGAATTAGAAAATGGATCAGGGCATGGTTTGGGGTTTTCGAGAGGACCGACGTTCGAGTCATTTTTTTCGGGCCGGCCCGACCGAGTCTTTTACGAGCCAAAATTTGATGCCCGACTCGATCTTTCGGACCGGGCCCCAAACCCTAATGAGGACCCCCCAAAAACCACCAGATTTTGGAATTTCAGCGTTTTATCATTACAGGATCATACCATGAGAGGTAAATGACCTAGGAAAATCTACGAAATGGGGCCACGAACTCCTCTAGAGCCCAATAGGTTCACTACTTTTGTGTCACTCACAAGAGCATAACAAGGAGTCGAAGGTTCAGGAAGGGGTGTCGAGTGGTTACTCCAGACCTCTCATCCATTTTTTGTGTCCTCCGCAGGATATTCGAATTTTTTAGAGGGCGGCCCCACTCGGGAGAGAAGGAAGTAGGGGCCCGACCCAACTAAAAACCAGGAAATGAAACAGGAAATACCGTGAGAGGGAAAAAGTCTAAGAAACCCTCCGAAAATGGGACCATGCCCCTCATAGGACCCACTAGGTTCACCCAGACAAGGTAGGGAAAAAACCTCGTAGTTCCTTTAGCAAACAAATGTCCAAATTGTGAATCAGCAAATTCGTGAACCTTTCCAGTACTTTAAAATTTTTTTTTATTTTCCAAAAAATTTCAAAAAAAAAACCTGGAAACAGAAAAATAGCCCCAAACATTTTGATTCGATTGAAAATTTAAAACTTCAACAGATCCACTAGCTGGACGAAAACCTTCAGCTGGATCTTCACTTGTTATGCGTGCAGCAATAACGTGAATGTTTGTGTCTGTACGGCATTGGTTTTGGGGAAAAGGGGAATTTCTGTAAGAAAAAATATTTTTTTTTTTAAATTTTTGAAAGATTTTTTAGAATAGTTTGGCTGTAGTTTGGGCTATCATTCAAAAAATAAAATTTTCACCCCAAAATTGTGTTTACTCCCCCTATAGTTTTTCGATCTTTGGGGTTTATAACACGGTGGTCCTCAGGCATCTCCAGAAAAAAGTGGTACCGCTCGACTCAGCTCGTCGAGACGAATCGAATGGTATCAGGGTGGCCCCTTCCAAAACACTAAAATAGGGCGCAGCTATTCAAAAATAGGGCAAAAATAGGGCAAAAATTAGGGCATAGCTTTAAAAGCTTAATCATAATTAAAATTTGAAATAAGGCGAAAATTTTGAGAATTTTGGAACGCTAAGAAGTCAGATTTCTTCCATTTTTTGCGTCGCAGACAAAATTTTGAGGATTTTGGAAGGCCAGGAAGTCAGAAATCCTTCATTTTACCATTTTTCTTACAAAATCCGAAGAATTTTTAAAATTTTACAAAATGGTAAAAATACGGCAAAAATATGGCAAACGAGAAAATAGGGAAAAAATAGGGCGAAAGTGTCAAAAATAGGGAAAATCCTCTAGAAATAGGGTAAAAGGGCCACCCAGAATGGTATGGGTTTTGTATTAAAACTGAAACTGTGGTATACTAAACTATATCCTATAATTTTTAGTCGAGCAAGATATACAAAACCAAAAAAATTTTTTGCGGACTTGAATACCTGACCCTGATATCCAGATTTATGTGGTTACCATAACTAGAGGCTGTCCTAGCGTTCGAAAATGAAACCTTTAACTTGTGGAGCACTAAAAAGACCCCAAAGTTATCATGCCCAAATCCAAAAATTTAAACTAGGGGTCCTAACTAACAACGGTCAATGAACATTTTTTAAAAGAGCGGGGATGTCCACAAAATTACGTATAATGACTAAACCCGAAGAATGACCTCAAAATAATCTCCAAGCCGGGATGGAAAATAAATATTTAAATGTTTAAAACCCTTTCGAAGGTCGACAAACTCTAAGCCCATATTTAAAAATCCAAAAAATTTTTTCTTAATTATAAAAAATAAAACATATACCCATATCTATCCATTCCATAAAAAAGACGAATTTCAGTTATTCTATGTAAAGGTATACCCATAGCAATTTGAAGTTGTATAGCTGGAATGTTTATATTTGCAACCATTTCAGTACATGGATGTTCTACTTGTAAACGTGGATTTAATTCCAAAAAATAATATTTTTGTTCTGATGGTAGATACATGTACTGGAAATTGAAGAAAGAAAATTAAGAAAGTTGGAAAAAAAATTTTTTGAAAAAAATATTTGCGGACAATTTTTGCGGACAAAAAAATATTTGCGGACAATTTTTGCGGATTTTGAAAAAAAAATTTGCGGATAAATTTTGCGGACAAAAAATTTTTTTGCGGACAATCCGCAAAAGTCCGCAAAAATTAAAAAAATCTTTTGCCGACTTTTTTTTTTCTAATAGAGCTGACTGACATTAATTTTTGAAAAGTTTATGAATGCGAATTTTAAATGTCTGAAAGAATTGATTTCCCAAACGTTTTGGAAAATCAGTTAGATTCTGGTTCCTGGTGTATAATATTATAACACAATAAAAGTGACACAGTGTTACGAATCCGAAAGGTCTTTGAAAAAATATTTGCAGATAATCCGCAAAAATTGTCCGCAAATTTTTTCAAGCTTTTTATTTGCGGACAATTTTTGCTGACAGAATTTTGTGAAAAATTATTTGCGGATTGTCTGCAAAAAAAAATTTTTAATAAAAATTTTGCAGACAACTTTTGCGGATTTCTGCAAAAAAAATTTTTAATAAAAATAAAAACCTCAACAGTCCCAGCACTAACATAACCAACTTTTTTAGCCAAATTGACCGCATCCATTTGCATTTGCCGTTGAATTTCTGGGGAGGCAATACCTGCTGGGGCTTCCTCTATTATTTTTTGACAACGCCTTTGTATTGAACAATCACGGGTAAATATTGGAATTACTTGGCCGTAATGGTCCCCAATTAATTGAACTTCTATATGTCTTGCATTGACCATACATCTTAAAGGGGTAGAGAAAAAAAGAATTAATTTTAAATTTTAATGGGTAGGGGGTGAAGCAGTTCAACTGAGTCCCGACTCAACTAAGTCCAGGCCCTATAATTTAGCAAGGAATGGTCACTTTTTCATGTTCTTGGTATCATTGGATAGGGCATTAAATAGGCTACAGTATACCAAAAAATCAAAATTTTTGACCAAATGGTAAAAAAGATATGATCGATAAAGTGCCGAAAAATTTGATTTTTTTGATAAAGTTGGTTTTTAGATCATAACTTTTTTATCAGTTGGTCAAAAATTTTGATTTTTTGGTATATTGTAGCCTATTTAATGCCCTATCCAATGGTACCAAAAACATTAAAAATCATCAACCCGTACTTGAGTTATAGGGCCGGGACTCAATTGAGCCGGGACTCAGTTGAACTGCTCCGGGTAGGGGGGACCATTAGGGCGCGGGGCCGTTTTGGCGCGAGCCTATAAAACAGTGAGTTGCTTATCAAAAACGATAAAATTTTGCAATAATAACTCTCATTCCTTTATCTACATGCTCCAAAAATTTCAAAATTTTTGGACCAGAATTTCGAAAATTATGGCCAAAAATGTTGATTTTCCGAAAAAACCCTAATATTTCGAGGTTTATCAACTATAACTTCAGGAATATTTGATGAAAAATTCTGAAATTTCTGGAGAAGGTAGCCAAGGATGTTAAAGAAATTTGAGAAAATTTTTATGAAATTAGGTCTCGACTAAGTGCCACTTTTTAATTTCGCGCCAAAACGGCACGGCGCCAAAACTACCCAACCCGGATCGGAACAGACAAAGGTGTCGGAAATCGGAAGAGCTGGAAATCGGAACTGGCTCAAAAGTCGGAACTCGGAAATTTTTTTCGGACCTCGGAAATCCGACCCACCTCCCTTATTAATAAAAAAAACAAACTCACTTCATCAAAAAAATAGGACTTCCCGGCACTTCAGCTTGAACTCTTCTAAAATTTAAACGAAATTCTTCATCACTAATACACTTTCTAATTCCCTTTCCTCCACCTCCCTCAGATGCTTTTATCATTACTGGGTAACTAATATTTTTTTCTTTCATTGAGGCCAAGCCTTCTTCAACTGTGGAGACACAAGCTTTTAAATACAATTCTTTGGAGATTTCTAATTCGCTTCCCCCTCCCCCGCCTTCTCTTCCCCCTCCCCCTCCTTCTTTTCTTCCGTCTTCTTCTTCAGTTGATTCAACTACTAATCCACTTCCTGACCATTCTATTGTTGGAATTTTTACTGTCTAAATTTGAAAATATTTCTTTTTGAAGGTCTGAAATTTTTGAGGCCAAAATTTGCGAATTCTTAGATTTTTTGCGGACAAGTTTTGCGCATTAAAAAATTTTTGCGGATTAAAAAAATATTTGCGGATAAGTCTTGCGGATTTAAAAATTATTTGCGGACATTTTCTAAAAGAGTTTACTAAAGCATTCCTTCGCTTCTAAAAATAAATTTGTCGCAGAAAATTTTCCGCAAGAAAAAACAGAAACGATTTTTAGAGGTCTGAATTTTTTGCGAATTTTTTTAAAATTTACATTAATTCATTCGTATTCATAAAGCTTTAAAAAAAACTCAGTCAGCTCTTAAATTAGAATAGAAAAATATCCGCAAAGAAAAGTCCGCAAACAAAAATCCGCAAAAGAATTTTGTTTTTTTTTCAAAAATTTTGTCCGCAAAAAATTTGCGGACAGTCCGCAAATATATTTGGTCCTACTGCAGTTTATGAGTTCAACCGCACTTTACGAGTCCGATCGCACTTTATGAGTCCAATGAAAAGCTTATGAGTCCAATAGGTTCACGTTGACCATTTTGAGCCTTTTTCTATCCCTTCAGACTTACTTCATTTATCGCCTACTACCCCATAACGCACAAAAACCTGATTGGACTCATAAACTTTTCAATGGACTCGTAGAGTGCGAATGGACTCATAAACTGCAGTTTACTCGAAAAAACCCGCAAAAAATTTTTTGTCCGCAAAAAATTTGCGGACAGTCCGCAAATATATTTTCCCCCAAAAATTAAAAAAAAATCCACAAACCTGAGCTATAATCGTGCTAGCAATTTTATCCCCCAAAGCAAACATTGCCTTACTCGGAGGGCCAATAAAAACAATATTTCTTTTGCTCAATTCTTCGGGTAAACGAGGATTTTCGCTAGCATGTCCCCAACCTGCCCAGACTGCGTCGACATTGTTTCGAGTTGCGTGCTCAACAATTTCATCAACATTTGCATAATTATTTGTATTTGCTCCGGCTGGGGAGAAAACGAGATAATCGGCCATTTTTAGATATTCTGAAAAAATTTGGAAGAAAAAAATTTTTTGTCCGCAAAAATTTTGCGGACAAATCTTGCGGACAGTTTTTTGTGGACTTTTTTTAATTTTCTAATTTCAGGGGTTTGACATTTCGACGAGCAACAAAATCTAAAATCGTGAGGGCATTTTTCTACAAATATCAAAAAATCCGCAAGAATTGTCCGCAAATATTTTTGCGGAAGAATCCGGAAAAACCCGGAGATTGTCCCGGAGATCCGGTCGGCCCCGGTCTCTAATATGGAATTATGACGTCATTTCCCCTATCTTGGTATTCCTGTGGATTTTTGGTATTAGAGCATCACACCTATGCGACCTAAAACCGATTAGTGATCGAGCTGGGTCTGGACCAAAGCCTGAGTTTTTTCTGTATCCAGAGTCTAGGCCCAGGCATTTGTTGACCTTCCTCGCGTTTTTCTTGGACTTGGGTCTTTTCTTGACTACAGGCCAAGGATCCAGCCCAGGTCAATAAATCAAACCTAGATTTATTCCAAAAAATTGCGGACAAAAGTTGCGGACAAAAGTTGCGGACTTTTCCTGTGCCTCGGGTTTCTGCCTGGCATACTGGCCCAGGATCCTGCCGAGGGTCCAGGAACAGCCCCAGGCTTTTCAAAAATCTCGATCACTAAAACCTGTTAAACCCCTTAAAATCCCCTCCACAAACCTGCTTTTGACTGGATTTCCTGTTCAGTAGTTAGACACACGAATCGAATAATTCTGTCATTCCGGAAAAGTTGCATCAACAATTTTCTCATAGAAAGAATACATTTGACTGCAGCTATACCATTTGTTGCTACCAAAATCTGAAAATTATAAAAAAAATTTGTCCGCAAAAAAAATCCGCAAGTTTTGTCCGCAAGTCGAAATTTTTTAATTTTTTCAAGGAACATAGAGGATCATTTTTCGAATGATAAAATCAACAGGCTTACTTATTGTTAGCAAAAATTGTGATTGTCACCCCACAAAATAATAATTCTTTGAAAAATATTTTTAAAAAATAAAAATTGCGGACGTCCGCAAAAACTGCCATCAATAAAAAGCCACCTTTATTTTCAAAAAAAGGTTTATTTAAAAATATAAACTCAAAAATACTTGACTTTGGGGGTTAGAAAAATGCCTAAAAAGAGAAATTTTTATTTTCCTCAAAAAGTAAAATTGCGGACAAAAGTTGCGGATTTTTAGGAAAACAGCGGGAAAGGAGTAAAACAGCCATATGAACAAAAATAAGACAACTATGTATGTCTTCTTCAACGAATATTAATTAAAAGGAATTTTGGGGAGAAAAAATTTGAAAAAATTTTCGGACAAAAATTTGCGGACAAAACTTGCGGACTTTTCAAAAACACTCAAAAAATCAAGGGAAATTAATTTTTCCCCTAATTAAATTTAAAAAAACCTTTCTGATGCTTCTAGCTTTTGTTGGGTCTTCACAAAAATGATTAACAAAATCGTCAATGTCATTGAAAACGAGATTTTTTTGATCAACCTTTTGAAAAAAAAATTTTTTCCGGAAAATTAAAAAAAAAGTTTTCTTCCGGAAAAAAATTTCCGGAAAGAAAAATTCCGGAAAAATTTTTCCGGAAGAAAATTTCCGGAAGAAAAAATTTTCCGGAAAATTAAAAAAAAATTTCCCCTTACCAAATTACTACTCAAAGTAGCCGAAGTTCCATCAAATTTGCTAACCCGAAAAGTTTGTATGCTGGGTAAAGTCATTGGTCTAGGCATATGCTTTTTTTAAATTATTTTTAATTAAATGCCTAAAAATGCCTGAAAAATTAAAATAAATAAAATAACGGGACACGCCGGCGCGCGGCCACAACGGCGCAAAGCCTTAACTTGCTGGAAAATTTTTTGTCCTTATTAATTTTAGTACCAATTCTCTTTAGCTCGATGAGAGGAATCGATTGATACCAAATTTGGTAAGATTCGATGAACTTGAAGCAAGTTATGGCTTTGCGCCGTTATGGGCGCGCGCCTAATTGGACCCATAAGATACATTGTATGTAGTATATTTTCCGGAAAAAACAATCAATAATTAATTCAATGTTTTCCGGAAAACAAGTTTTCGAGAAATAGTAAATTTGAGTCTTTCCGGAAAACATGTGTTTTCTAAAAACACACTGAAAACACACTGAAAACACACTGAAAATAATTATGAAAAACATTCCGGAAAAACATTTAATAATCAATTTCATTTTTCCGGAAAACATGCTCTGAAATTTAAAAAAAAATCCGGAAAACATGCTGGAATTATAAATAGGTAATTTTCCGGAAAAACACAAAACAACAAAGTTCTCCGGAAAAACACATAAAATAACTGAAGTTTCCGGAAAATACATTTTATATTTAAATTAAAAACATTTTCCGGAAAACATGTGGGAACATTATAAAATTAATTATAACTAGCTTTCCGGAAAACAAGTTTTAGAAAATAGGGTAAACCGTTATACGACCGCAAACTGAGTACCAGTCGACTTTGATCGGCCATAACTTTTTAATTCTTAATCCAATACAGACGAATTTTATGTCATTCGAAAGCTCTCGATAAGCTCTATCTTTTTTCTAATAGGATAGATCAGGTCCGATCACTGATTAAAAAGTTATAGACCTATAAGTCCAGTTATTTGAAGTTTTTCACAGTTATCGGGTTATAACTTTTTAATGGGTGATCAGACCTGATCCATCCAGTTGGATAAAAGATACAGCTAATCAAGGGCTTTCGAATGATATAAAATTTATTTGTATCGGATCAAGTATCGAAAAGTTATGGCCGATCAAAGTCGGCTGGTTCTCAGTTTACGGTCGAATAACGGCAGGAAATAGGGTAATTCTGCCTATTTTTAAAAAATTTTTTTGACAGTAAAAATTAAAAAAAATAACACAATTAAAATATCAAAAAATTAAAAATAAATTAAAATTAAAAAAGAAAAATTTTGGTGGAACGTTTTATATAATTTATATAAATCAGCCCATTATAGAGAGAGGGAATGTGGAGTGCTCTTCCTTCTAATAATCAGCCAAAAAATCGTGTTATCAAAAAATTATTTATGAGTTTGAAATTTAAGTGAGATACTTTTGTCTTTTGACCTTTTTATTTTTTTTCTTTATTTTTTTACTGTTGTTTTCGAATTTTAAGGTAAGGTAGGATTGAAGGGAATGTTTTCCGGAAAATATTTTAATATTAATTCTAGAAGGTTTTCCGGAAATTTTAATGTTTTTCCAGAAACAAGAAAATATAATTATTTTCCGGAAAACATTATATAATTGTATTCCGGAAACAAAAATATTTATTTACCGGAAACAATTTTCCGGAAAAATTGAAATATTAATTCTGAAAGGTTCTCCGGAAAGTGTTTTCCGGAAATAGAAAAATAATTATTTTCCGGAAAACATTTTAATATTAATTCTGAAAGGGTTTCCGGAAAATGTTTCCGGAAACTTTAATATTAATTTTGAAAGGTTTTTCCGGAAACAATAAAAATATAATTATTTTCCGGAAATTGTTTTCAATAAAATCTTAATATTAAAATGTTTTTCCGGAAAGCTTTATATAATTGTTTTTCGGAAGAAAATATAATACTTTCCGGAAACAATTTTCCGGAAAACATTTAAATATTAATTCTAATAAGTTTTCCGGAAACATTTGTCTGTTTACATTTTCCGGAACAGGCTCCCTAAAATTCCGGAACGAAATCTCTTTTTCTCTAACATTCTCTAACACACCCTCCTCTCTATAACGCAGATATCTTTCCGGTTATTGACAAAAAGAGAATTAATAGAATGAAAAAATAAAAATAAAAGAATGTTGTGGGGGAAATAAAGAGAAAAAAAGATATTTATCTACACAAAATGATTCACTTTGACTTTAATTAACAACGTTTTTTGCTCTACTATTTATTTGTTACTTTTTTAAATTTTTTAAAGTTGAGATTTTTTTAATTTGAGAAAAAAGGAGTTATTCGCTAGCGTTATTTGCGGACTTTTATTTTCTCTACAAACATTGTGGTGTTAAACGAGAGGGAAATAAGGAGGGAAATAAGACTAGGCAACAAGGTGAGGGCATTCTCAATAGGCTTCTGGTTTGTCCGCAAATGTTCGCAAATGTCGCTTGCCTTTTATTAAACGCTGCTTTGTTCTGTTTTGTTCTCAAATGTCGGTTGTTCGCAAATGTCGCGACGTTCTTTCAATTTTATTGCCTTCTAGTAAACGCGAAATTCTCTGAACATTTTTTATTCTGGCATTCTGTCTTATTTTTATTCTGTCTTTAAATTGAGGACGACACTTGCGGACCGACATTTGCGGACATCTACTAAGAATACATCTACTAAAATACATCTACTAAGACATCTACGGACATCTACTTCCTGCCTTATAGATTTTATAAAGTGTCGTTAGGTGAGTGACACTATCAATATTTTACTACATGCGTAGCTTATAATGCTGTACTAGACCCAATGTCATTTAGTTCCAATTTCAATAGGCTTCGGGTTTGTCCGCAAATGGCGGCTGTTCGCAAATGTCCGTTGTCCGCAATTGTCGTTTGTTCGCAATTGTCGCAACAATTTTTTGCCAGTATTTTAGCTATTTTTCTCGATTTTTTTATCAGTATTTCTCCCCTAAAAAATCAAGTTACTTTATTATTTTACATGTATTTTCTATTTAAATCAGAAGCAAAAAAATTAATTTCAATCATTTCACTTAATCGATTCCCTTCAATTAAAAGAATATTTTCACGTCTGGGAATGGATAACAATAAAAATGATAATATTAAAAACAATTCTACTACTCCTCCAAAATTCACTGTTGGATATTTATTTGCTAATCCAGACACTGCTATTTCTTCTATTAAAGTAGGGGAAAATGAAAAAAAATTTTTTACTTAGAAAATTCACTGAAGGTGTCCTTTCCCCAATAGAGGCAGGCGCCGTCTCAATCTAAGGCCATATTTTGGGCCATAACTTTTTTGATCCTTAACCGATTTTAATAATTTGTATATCAATCGAAAGCTCTAAGTGTGTGGATTATTTTATCTGTTAAGATTTAGTTGATCAGTTCATTCTGTGAAAAGTTACATTTGGGTAAGTGGACGCAATCGTGATTTTTAATAGTTATTCGGCTATAGCTTTAGGTAGGATGCTCTGAACGAATCAGTCCTGTTAGCTAAAATAATCCGCACGCTCAGAGCTTTCGTTTGATGCTTAAATTATTTAAATCGGTTAAGAACCAAAAAAGTTATGGATAGAAATATAGCTTCGGACAGCTCCTCCCCCACAGCGCCTACCCAAAAAGCCGGCAATTAAAAAAAAAATTTTTTTTCTAGTCGATGGACTTTGGAAAGGAATTTGGAACAAATCCAAAATTAATTTTCCAACCTTCCTCAACCTTTATCAACAATATAGAAAAACAAAAAGTATGGGAGGAACAAATTAACGAAGATTTATTGCCCATAGAAATTAGAAGGCAAAAGGAAGGAATACCTAAAAATTGTTTTTGTGGCTTTGATGTGAACAAATTTTATAAGAAAATTGAAACTAAAGTTTTTGGACAATTTGTTGTTTTTGTGCCTGTTTGTTCATCGACTATGAATATTGCGGATAGGTAAAAATAGAAAAACACAAGAAATACTAAAAATACATAAAATACATAGGCACAAAAATACACTAAAACACAAAGTACAAAAAAATACAGAAAATACAAAAAAAACACAATTAGTACGGAAAAATTTCGGAATACTAAACAGAACGCAAATGGGTCAAACGATATGTCATTCGAAAGAGCTCGTTGAGTTGAGACGAATGGTGAAAAAATTTTCGTGCGGACTCATATGGGCTGAGATATAGGCCCCCGAAAATCGAAAAACCATAGGGGGGAGTAAGCTCAATTTTGGGGTGAAAAATTCGAATATTCAAATAATAGCTCATTCGACACAGCTCTTCGAGCTGTGTCGACTGACACCAAAATCAGCTCGAGATCTTGATTCTGAGCCGAGATAAACAGGCTCAAAATGGTGCGTAGGCGAGGCCATTTGCGTCTGTTTAGTATTTCGAAATTATACCAAAAGTACAGAAAAACACAAACACAAAGTACACGAAACTCAAAAAATACAAAAATATTAAAAATTAATTCTGATTTTGTATTTTTCAGTTTTTCAAAAGCTTTCCCAACAGTCGATGGTTTTGTAGTGGTTACCGGGTGTCAAACAGCTGGAAGAGATAATTATTTTTATTTTTTAAAAAATATTTTTATTAATTTTTAAGACGTTCCGGTAATGAATGGGTGAGCCCACTCGGTGAGTTTTCTTTAAAATGTGGTCGATGGGCAAAACACCGTCCGACAAAATACCGTCCAGACATTAAAGTGTTGCCTGAGTCGTGTCTGAACGGTGAATTGTCTAGATGAATTCCGAATTGTCGGTGAATTGTCAGGACGGTGAATTGTCTGGATTAATTCTGAATTGTCAGTGAATTGTCTGGACGGTGAATTGTATGAACGAATTCTGAATTGTCGGTGAATTGTCTGAATGGATTCTGAATTGTCGGTGAATTGTCTGGCTGAATTCTGAATTGTCAGTGAATTGTCTGGACGGTGAACTGTCGGACGGTGGATTGTCGGGCGCTGTTTTAGTCGGACGGTGTATTGTCCTAACACTATAATTTTTAGGAGCAGCTTTGTTCACAATTAATTTAATTGTTCCGTTTGACTCTAATGTTAGCAAATCTCTTGTGCTTATCCAACATTTGACGGCGGTTTCTATTTGTAAAGCAATTACGGAATTTATACCGGTGAGTTTGTTTTTAAAAATACAAATTAAAAAATTTTTAAGGATTTCCCTATCAGAATTAAATGGCCAAACGATCTTTATTATAAACGCGAATTTAAATTGGGTGGAATATTAGTTTCAAGTTCGCAATCAGACAGTGGATATAATTGTTCGATTGGTAGGTTTATAAATTTACAAACTTGAAATACAAAATTGGGTTGAGCAAAAAATAAACTTGAAATACAAACTCGAAAAATACAAATAAAACACATGATAAATTTAAAACTTAAAACAAGTTTATTTTAACAAAAATAAACTTGAAAAATACAAACTTGAATAAAACACATTTAAGTTTTAAAATACAATTTGTAAACTTTAAACTTGAAAAACAAAAATACAAAACTTACAAACTTACAAACTTAACAAAAAAAACAAACTTTTAAAACAACTTGTTTTAAATAAACTTGAAAATAAAAAAAACACATAAGTTTACAAACTTGAAATACAAAATTAGTTTTAGTAAACTTAAACTTAGGGAAAAATAAACTTGAATTTAAGTTTTTTAAACTTTAAAACCTGAAAGTTAAATAAACTTGAAAATACAAACTTGAATAAAATACATAAAGTTTTAAAATACAATTTGTGAACTATGAAATAATAAACTTGATTAAACTTGAGGAAAAATAAACTTGAATAAAATTACAATTGTAAATTATAAATTTAAAAAATATAGGTAAAATATATTTAAAGGTGTTGGTTTAAACATAGCCAATTCAAAGCCAACAATTTGTATTAATGATTTAATTTCTGAAGAAATCGGGAAACTTGAAACTGAAGATGTTATTGCAAAAATATTGAATAAATTTGAAAGTAAGGAATAAATAAAGTCTGCCCTCATAAATTCACCCTTGGGGTTGGAAAAATCTTATCATAAACTGAGGTATTCTTAAGTTGTAGGTATTGTTTGGAGAATACCTCCAACTTTGCCGGAACTGCATCTTATTTTTTGTTTCCGGGCCAGAACTGGAACTTCGGCGAAACACTAGTATTCGAGTTGTGTTTACTATTAGGGTGGGGGGTTGCTTTGGAGAGGGGGTTTTGCTTTCTTATATTGGGGGGTTTACTTTGGAGGTATCACCTAGTTACTAAAGCTGTCCAAGACCGAAAATTTACCAAGACTTGAGACCAAGACTACACCCCAAGATCAAGACTTGACACCAAGACTCAAGTTCAAGAGTCTTGGACATCGCTACTAGTTGCCCAGTGCAGTGACCGGCTAAATTAGAAAGGATACCCTTAAATAGAAGGTGTATCTAGTATTGGGGTGTATCTTATAAAGAGGATCAAGTTGTACTTAATAAAAAAAATAAATTTTTCAAAAATTAAGCTCAACTCGAATTACTCAAATCAAAAGGCTTTGCTTATTTAGTACGCGATTATGAAAAGTTCTGGTTACATACAAACGAACAAGTTTCAATTAGCCTGGCTTCTGGGATTCAAGAAAAGGTTACAATAAAAGGGCTAGATGAAAATGGTTATTTGTTGGTACTTAAAGAATCTGGAGAATATGAAAGTGTAATGGATAATGGTAGGCATAAAGCTTTGAGTTTTATTCTTAAGTTTGTTAAGTTTACTCTTAAGTTTGTTAGTATACTTAATTATTCAAGTTTATTTTTATATTTCAAGTTTTTAAGTTGCTTAAGTTTTCAAGTTTAAGTTCAAGTTTACAATTGTAATCTTATGTTTTCAAGTTTTAATTTAGCTTAAGTTTATTTTTGCTAAAATTATTTTTAAGTTTATAAGTTTATTTATGTATCTTAAGTTTAGGTTAAGTTTGCAAACTTATGTGTTTTGTATTTTCAAGTTTTAAGCTTTACAATTGCAATCTAAAATATCAAGTTTATTTTCAGGTTTTAAGTTAGCTCAAGTTTATTTTTGCTAAAACCTTTTAAGTTTATAAGTTTATTTCCGTATTTTAAGGTTAGGTTAAGTTTGCAAACTTATGTATTTTATTTGAATTTTCAAGTTTTAAGTTTTACAATTTTAGTCTTAAATCTTAAGTTTATTTCCAAGTTTATTTTTTATATTTTACTTAACTAGTTATTTTGTATTTTAAGTTTGCAAGTTTAATTTTGTATTTTCTTTTTAATTTGCAAGTTTTAAGTTTACAATTATTATTTTCAATCTTAAGTTATTTATTAAATTTCTTAAGTTTTCAAAAGTAACTTAAATACTCATTTCTATTTAAGGAAATCGTTTTGACCTCCTTCAAGGACTTATCTTCCAGAGAAGGAACTGAATTGAGAGCTTGATTATTTAATTGTTTTTTTTGTTAAAATTTTATTTAAAAAATATTTTTTGTCGCAATATTTTGAATTTTATATTTTGCATAATTTTATTTGGAACAAATAAATTTAAATTGAAAAAAGAGAGGTAAAAACAGAAAAATACATTAAACTTCAAAAAGACCTAATTAAAGTATACGCCTTCTTAAGCTTGAAAACTTTGTCAATTATTACGAGATATGCCCAACCAATTTTAAAAAATGCTCTTAAATTGAGGTTTTCAATAATGATGCCTCTCTTAATAATGATCCCCCTCTTATTTATTTTAGGAAAGGGTCAGGATTTCGGGTATCGAATTTCGAGTAATTCTATCCTTCTCTGCTAGTAGATACACCTGAATTTAAGAGGCATTAGGTTGAAAACCTCACCCGAAACCCGATTCGATTTTTTTCTTTCTAAACCCGACATATCTCTGATATATTGTATTTGGTTCATCTTAGATATGTATATTGAGGTCTGAGAATTTAATAAAAATAAAAATTAAAATTTTCAAAAATAAAATAAATTCAAGTAAAATCGTTTCATAAAAATATTAGTTACTAAGTAAAATTCAGTCACAAAACAACATGTAAATAAATGCCTTAAAAACGTGCAAAACACCCTCGAACCTATCGTTATATAGATTTATTTAACTGATAAAATAATAAGGAAATATATACTAGGCATGGCGTGGTTTCCAAAAAATAATTGATGCGGAAAATCGCCGAAATTGAGAAGGGTAGAAAAAGGGAAAAAATAAAAATTGGAGAATATAATTTAAAAAATCCTTTATTTAAAAGTATAGGAAACTGGAAATGGTTGGCCTATCTAATTTTTGGGAGGTTAAAGTGTTTTGGATTAAAAGTAATTCAAGTTTGTGATCTTACTTTTTGCGTATAATATTCTCATATTTTATCTAGTACACCTCAACTGAATCACGGTCCAGTTCCGGCCCTATAACTCAAGAAAATACTGATAGTTTTTAACAAATTTGGTACCATGAATAGAGAATTAAATTCTCTACAAAATAATTCTCTACAAAATACCAAAAAATCAAAATTTTCGACTGATTGATAAAAAAGTTGTGGACGATAAAGTTTACCTATAATATGCTTATATTTTTATTTAGTCGTCGAAAGATATTAATTTTTATAACTTATTTTAATATTTCAAGAATTGTAATTTCGCAAACTTAAGTTTAATGTATTTCCAAGTTTATTACTAAAATTAAGTTTAAAAATACAAGTTTTTACAAATGTATTAAAAATAAACTTGATTAACTTAAGTTTGCGATTTTTATTTTCAAGTTTATTTTACTACATAATTATAAAAACCTATTTTCAAGTTTGTTGTTTTGTAAACAAAATTTTATTATATTTCAAGTTTATTTTTCAATCTAATCTTTAAAAGGAACAAATAAAAAATAAATAAATATATTTTCAAGTTGATTTAAGTTTTTTAAATATCACAATTTACTCTTCATTTTTCGACGAGTAGCGATCATTATTTTTTGAAGTTTTTGAAGTAAAGTCAACTTTCCTTTGATTTTAAGTCGACCAGTCAGGAAAGCCTTAAAATACATATTTTAAAATGAAAAAATGTAATTTTAAAAATTGTATTTTAAAAATTGTAAGGAAGAGAAAGACTAGGCGGGGGTTTAAGATCTAACAGGAGGCCGTAGGCCTGCCGGGGATTAAACTTTTACATCGCTCTTACCAAATTCAATTTAAAAAACTACAATTACAATTTATTTTTCAATTTCAAATTGTCTACTTTATCTTTATTTTCAAGTTTAATTCATTTTTGTATTTTAATTTAGTTTCAAGTTTGTAAGTATAGTATAAGCATTTTACTTCTAATTTTCAACTTGTTTTTGTAAATAGTTATCTAGTTTTGTGATCTCAAGTTTACAATATTTCCAAGTTTATTTTTAATTTTTAAAATATAAAAAATAATTTTTTTATTTATGTAAGCTTATATCTATCACACTTCTAAAATATATATTTCTTCTAAAAAATTCAAAAATATTTTCGCGTCTTCTCTTCCATACGCCTAGTCTTCTTTTCATTCTCCTCCAAACAAAGTTTTAAATCCAAGCAGGCGCCCTAGCATTTCCACAAGTGTTTCTGTTTTGTCTTTTTCTTCGGTCTCAACCTTTACGTGCACAATTTTTGAATAAATTACAAATAAATTTACAAACTTGAGTTAATTAAACTTTACGAGCTAAATTAGCTTATAAATTTACAATTGTTTTATTTTCAAGTTTATTTTTATAAACTTTTTTTTTCAAGTTTGTATGTTTTTTTATATTTCAAGTTTATTTTTCTATTATAAGTTCGAACTTAAGTTTATTATTTTTCTTATTTTCAAGTTTATTTTTTATTTAAGTTCAGACTTAAAATTTTTTTCAAGTTTGCAGACTTAACTTATTGAAGCTAAGTTTATTATTTTCAAGTTTATTCTTAAACGCTTAAGTTAAGTTTTTTAATTCAAGTTCGTGCTTAAAAACTTGAATTCTAGTTACTTCTAATTTTCAACTTTTTAAGTTTATAAACGTTTCTAAGTTTTTAATTGTAATCTTAAAGTTCAAGTTTTATTTCCAAGTTTATTTTTATTAAAACTTTTTTCAAGTTTGCAAGTTTATTTTTATTTTTTTTATTATTTTTCAAGTTTATTTTTATTTAAGTTCAAACTTAACTTATAGATAATAAGTTTATTATCTTAAGTTTACTCTTAAACGTTTAAGTTTTTTAAATTCAAGTTCGAACTAAAAAAAAACTTGATTTAAGTTCTAACTTAACTTAAGCACTCCTTTAATTTAATTCTCCCACCTTTGTACCATCCAAATCCCCATTAACTAGCCTAACAAAGTCTTCATCCGCAATAGAAACAGTCACCTTAGTAGGCTTCTTATCTTGTTTTTGAGCTTGTTTTTGATCTCCACTAGGCTCTCCTTGATAAACCTTTCCCTTTCCGTCTCCAGTTAATTCGATAGCTAAAATTATGATTTTAGAAAAGATTTTTTAAAAATTAATTTACTATATTTTGTAACAGATTTGCTTCCATCCTCTCCCTCACTGCTAATTTCGTATAAAATCAAAGCATTGCCCAGAGGTTTGAGTGACTCGTTTGTCTCCGCTAACTCCTTCCCCATTACATCAAAAATTGCTTTTGATTTTAGGGGTGGACTTAACTTTGTGTTAATCTTGGAAGGTTCCTCACTCAAATTTTGAATAACTGAAACTTCGTTCAATTCAATGCATCCATTGGAAATGGCAACTTTTCCTGTTTCTTTAATCTTAAAAATTGGGAAATTAATAGAGCATTTTTATTTTTTGAGTACTTAAGTTTATTTTTATTTTCAAGTTTATTAAACCTTCAAGTTTAACAAGTTTAGTTTAACAAGTTTAGTCTGTGAATTTAAGTTTATAATCTTAAGTTAATATTTGTATTTTCCAAGTTTTTAAGCTTAACAAGTTTATTTTTTATTATTTTCAAGTTTTTAAGTTTACAAGTTTATATTCAAGTTTATTTTCAAGTTTATTAAATTAATTGTATTTTGCATTCTAAACTTGAAAAGTTTATTTAATGTTTTTAAGTTTACAAGTTTATTTTCAAGTTTATTTTTTATGTGTTTTTAAGATTGTGAATTCAAGTTTATTATTAAAGTTGTTATTTGTATTTTTTGTATTTTCAAACTTAACAAGTTTAATTAATTTCTTAAAGCATTTTTATTTTTGAGTACTTAAGTTTATTTTTTTCCAGGTTTATTAAACTATATTTGTATTTTCTACGTTTTCAAGCTTAACAAGTTTATTTTTAATCTTAAGTTTGTGAATTCAAGTTTTAAGTTTATTATTTGTATTTGCTACATTCTCAACAAGTTTATTTATTTTTAAGTCTGTGAATTTAAGTTTATTACTTAAGTTTATATTCGTATTTGTTTGTGTTTTCTAGCTAGACAAAATTATTTAATACTTTTAAGATTGCGAATTATATTCAAGTTTATTTTCTTAAGTCGATATTTGTGTTTTCAAATGGGTACCCATGTTTTTTCAAGTTTATTCATTTTTAAGTTCGCAAATTATTTTTATTCGATTTAGCGTTGTAAAATTACAAAACACGCATTTTCAAGTTCATATTAATTTTGTTCTCATCGTTTTTCGGGCCCCTTACAATTTTACAAATTTCTACCTTTGCAGTAAACAAAATTTGTTTTTGGTTCTGCCACATTTCCACAACCAAAGTCTGTCCAGGAATTACAGGGGAAGAAAAACGACTTCGAACTGAACGCAAATTCTTGGCTTGTTTATCGCCATAAACACGCAAAACAAGGCGAGTAGCAAAACCGAGAGAACAAAGCCCGTGAAGTATCGGGGTAGAAAAACCAGCCATTTGGGCAAAGTCTGGGTCGATATGTAAAGGATTTAGATCACCAGAGCCGATACGGTAAAGGGCTGCCTGAAGAATGTTAAAATTAAATTAGAAAAAGCCTTAAAATTATAACCTGATCAGGATTTATTCGATCTTCTAAAATTGTATCTGGTGGTCTTTCTGGAAATGGAGGCGATTTACGTTCATAAGGCGATGTGCGGTTGCCCTTTTATTAGAATAGTATTTTTTAAGTTTTATTAAATTAGGTAATTTATTTTTAAGTTTATTTTTATATTTTTAAGTACTTGAAGTTTAAATAAACTTGAATTATAAATAATTTTAATAAATAACTTTAAGTTTACAAATCAAGTTTAAACTTGAAAAAAATAAACTTGATTTATATAATTAAAGTTTATTATTATATAATTATCAAGTTTACAATTCAAGTTATAAAATACAGAATTTATAAACTTAAGTTTACAACTCAGGTTTATTTTTTGTAATTAAAGTTTATTTAACAAATAAAGTTTAATCTTACAAAATAAAGTTTATAAGCTTAATTTTGTAAAACCAAGTTTATAAACTTAAGTTTACAACACCAACTAGGTATTTTTTATCTTAAGTTTAAACTTATTTGTAGACTTGAAGTTTATTGCATTACATTTTAAGTTTGGCAAGTTTATTTTTATACTCTTAAGTTTGTAAAATATTTAATTAATTTTCAAAAAAGAAAATACAAAATAAATACCCCGAAACCACCCGCTCCAGATAGGAAAATACCAAATTCTTGGACTGCCAATTTCTCATTAGTTTGACAATCATAAGTTGTAACTGGAAAATTTTTGTAAATTTAAGTTTGTAAATCAAGTTAATTTATTTATTTCAAGTTTCTAAGTTTTCAATGTATTTTTAAGTTTATAATGTTAATATTTGTATTTCTTTGTATTTTCAAACTTGATAAGTTTATTTTTGTATTTCAAGTTTGTGAATAATGTATTTTTTGTATTTTAAAGTTTATTTTAATTTTTTAAGTTTGTAAATTATTTCAAGTTTATTTTTCCATTTTTAAGTCTGCAAAGCATTTCCAAGTTTATTTATTTAATTGTATTTTATTTTGTATTTTCAAAACTTGACAAGTTTATTTTTGTATTTCAAGTTTGTAAATAATGTATTTTCAAGTTTATTTATATTTTTGTATTTTATTCTTAATAAGTTAATTTTTATTATTTTTAAGCTTATAACTATTTTCAAGTGTATTTTTATATTTTTCAAGTTCGTAATTAATTTAAACTTTATTTATTTTTTATATTTCTCTTGTATTTTCAAGTTTGTGAATTTACCTTCTTTAATAATCAAAGCAGCCTTTCCTTTATCCAAAATATCCAGAACCCTAGTTTCCGTTCTTAATTTGCCCCCATCTGCAGGAATTGGATTAAACAGCTCAATATAATGTTCTCCATGAAGAAGACGGCTAAAATCCAAATTAGCCCCAGGCCAGTCACTTGCATTACTAGTTTGAGCTAAAAAGCCGGGGACTACCACAAATGTAGGGAAGACTTGAAATTCTGGATGGCCTTCATAAATGAAGTGTAATTCTTCTTTTGTGGTTGCACCAACTAGGAAATTAAATAAACAAGTGTTTATTAAAATTCAAAAAAATTGTAAACTCACTTCCTAAAGCATAAACAATAGCATCTTCTGATTTGTAATTAAAAAGAGATGGCTCAGGAATAAATTGTTTAGCGGTTTCGGGATCCATTTATTGCTTTAAGCGGTCTAAGTTTAATTAATTGATTGATATGATACAGTGTTAATAAACTTAAAGTTTACAAATATAGATTAAACTTGAATTACAAAGATTAATCTTAAAAATAAAAGTTTAAATTTTAATTATAAAAATAAACTTTAATTGCAAACTTGAATTTTTTAATTAATTAAACTTAGTCTAAAAATCAAGTTTAAACTTGAATTATAAAAATAAACTTGAATTGTAAACTTGATAATCTCACGAAATAAAACTTAATTTTACAAATCAAGTTTATTTTTATAATTAAAGTTTAAACTTGATTTTTAAAGTTTATTTTTGCATTTCAAGTTTGAACTTGTAAAGTTTATTTTTATTTTAAATTTTTCAACTTTAACTTAATAAAGTTTACTTATTAAAATTATTTATAATTCAAGTTTGTAATTCAAGTTTATTTAAAAATGCAGCAAACAATAAGGCTTTTGTAAACTTAATTTTATAATTTTATTTTAGAAAGTTTTACAAAATCAAGTTTATTTATTAAATTCAAGTTTTTTGAAATAATTTGTATTTTCATAAGGAACAAAATTATTTGACCTTGCAAAACAACGAATGATTTTTTCCTTATCGCTGCTTTTATTTTTCTGCTATTTATATTTTCTCTAAATATAATATTGATTTGTAATAATTTTTAAATGGTCTCATTATGAAGGAAAATTGCTAAAATTTAATTAAAAAATATAAAATTCATTTTTACAAACTTAGCTTATAAAATTAAGTTTAAACCAGAGATGTTTCGAAATTTCGATTTTCGTTTTTCGATTTTCGAGGTTTTTTTCCTTTCGATTTTCGATTTCCGAATTTTTGAAAAAATTTAAATTTTTGGCGCCAAAAAGGAGGAATTCTGACTTATAGGCCCGGTACACCTCAATTGAGTCCGCACGATTGAGTCCTCACGATTGAGTCCGCACGATTGAGTCCCCACGATTGAGTCCCGGCACAATTGAGTCCCTACGATTGAGTCCGCACGATTGAGTCCCCGTTGTATATACCTCAATTGAGTCCCCGTGGATTTGATTTAAAAATTTTTTAAAAAATTCCAAATCCCCCATGCGTGATTATTTCAAAAATGTTGCGGGATATTTTGTAAAATCCCACAATTAAAAATTTTATCAAAATTATCAAAAATCTTTATTCAATCTAATAAACAATAATCACTAATTCTAAAACAAAATTCTCAAATAAATAAAAATTCAAGGATCCATATTATAGTTATGAGAAACACCTCTTAAAAAATCAATAATTGGGTGAATAGGATAAGCAACTGGAAATTGATAATTGTGATCAAAATTTGGATTTGCGGCCTGATACGTTTGGACCAACGCATGAATTCTTCTATCGGCATCACGATACTTTCTTCGTTTAGGTGGAGGTTCCATTCCCTGTTGACACATGGCATAATCTGCGTCAATCAACTTCTGTTCTTTTCGTAATGTATCGATGAATCTCCATATATTTGGATGCGAACAACTGAATGCCCGTTGGAGTTTTTTATGTGCAGCTTCTGTAAAATAAATAAACATTTTTTTGTAAAATAAGTAAACCTTAACCTGCGTAATTATTAGTTCTATCCCCCATTTCAAGTACCCTTCTATGCACGCTCCAGATTGCTGGATCAAACCTCGGTTGGTTTCGCATACCATCCATACGCAAACGGCCAGTATAATTTGTAATAAACCTGAACGTTAAATAAAAATTAAAATACATGACAAACCAGTCAAGAACAGGTTGTAATTCAAGTGGGAGATAGGTCTCTAAAGCAATGATTGCCAAAGATATATCACAGATAGGCAAGAAAGCTATTGAAGTAATTAATTTGGCATCAGCGGCAAACAAAGGATCATTTTTATAACGCTGAAAAATAGGAGTACAAATGAAAATGGGAATAAAAAACAACCTGCATTAAATTAGCATCGCAAATTGCTTTTTTAAGATTCCTAACCAGGTGGAACAGACAACCGGCCAGGTCTGAACGAGGAAAAACCTCCTGAATAGCTCCAATAATTGCTGCTTCATAGTCTGTTGAGAAAACACGTGGGTTGAACTGCGGCCAAATTTCTTTGACGAGTCGAAAAAAGCGAGCATATGTCGATTTTGTTTTATTCGTCAGCAACCCATAGAGCACAGGGAACACCCACTTCCGTTTTCTAAATTAAAAATAGAAAAAATAAATTAAAATAGAAAAACCAGTCCCCACCCTTTCCTAATTCCGACTGTTTTTTCTACAGCAAACTAACATCAACCAACCTTGCAAGCACACAAAAAATTTGATAGAATAAAGGGGGAGTAACGCTAAAGCTCCCATCAACAAAAACATGTTCCATTTGTTCTGACCACTCCCCAGATGACATACGACCAAATATGAGGATTCTAAAAAATAATCTATTAAAAAAATAAAAAAGAAAATAAACCTATGTTGTCTTGGATCATTATTTTCAGTATAAACGCCAGAATCAGCTAGAAGAAATTGGTCGTAAAGTTCGTCTGTCCTTTGATAATTTTGGTACCGATCAGGGATTTCAAGTTCATTAATATTTTGCGGGACCGCAGGAAAAACAGCATTTTGTCTGCGTGCCCTTTGAACCAACTTAAACGATTTTTTTAAATATTGTTTATAAATTCAAATACCAAGTTTGTCGCTTTTTTTGTGGGAAGTTGTGCCAAAACCGGCGTTGGTATATTCTCCATTGCATTTGCTCTGATTGTGGCCGGAGGCTCCATTGTTTCAATTGCCCTTCTTTTAATCCCTGTCACAACAACTTGCTTTTGAACATTGTCAGGGTTGACGCTGCAAACGTGATGATTTAATTCACGCAAAACAGAGTTGTTGAGGTCGCTATGTAGGCGAGCCTTACATGTGACATCTTTTTTGTTGAAGGCCTCACATCTCCAAAACTTGATGTCTTCATCCTTGTTCATTTTATGAAACACAAATAAAAATCCATCATGAACAAGTTTAGGCTTTCCACGTTCAGTTAAAATATCCGCCATCCTGTTTGAAATAATAGATTATTATAATATTACAATTTTGTTCTTTAATTACTCTTTTTTCTTAAATCAAATCCACGGGGACTCAATTGAGGTATATACAACGGGGACTCAATCGTGCGGACTCAATCGTGGGGACTCAATTGTGCCGGGACTCAATCGTGGGGACTCAATCGTGCGGACTCAATCGTGAGGACTCAATCGTGCGGACTCAGTTGAACTGCTCCGTTATAGGCCATCATAAATTTAAAAAATTTTCGCCTGCGGCGCAGAGAAAGGAAGATTTCTGGCTTAAGGTTCTTCCAAAATTCTCAAAATTTTGGCCTGCGGCGCTGAAAATGTAAGAATTCTGGTGACTTGGTCTTCCAAAATTCTCAAAATTTTCGCCTGCGGCGCAGAAAAAGGAAGACTTTTGGCTTAAGGATCCATCAAGATTTTCAAAATTTTCGCCTGCGGCGCTAGAATGGAAAAATTTAATAACTCTGAGTTTTGGATGGATTAAGTTGGACCTTAAGTTATATCGGGAAATTTCAAGGGGCCCAATGTAAAGTGATTTGGGCCTGATATCGAGGGATTAAGTGGTGTAAGGTGAATACCATAGAGTTGGATATCTGAGGATTATCGATATTCTCGACTCCCCTCTTATTCTTCCGACTCCCCTCTTATTCTTCCTTCGAATCCGCTGATCTATCCTCCTCTGATATCACTTTTATCTTTTATCCCCCTTGATAAATTCAGAGCCCCTTTTCATCACTCCTTAGCAAAGATTTGAAATGGCAACAGGCGGTGCCGGTGATTCGATTCCTATTCCTATTTTTGGTTTGGATTTAGTGTTCGAACTTTGGATATCCGTTACTTCCCGGGATCTACCGACTAGTCCATACTTTCTTCTAATTTTTTAGAATTAAAGAGTTTCAAATGAGATCTAACACAACAAATATTTTACCTGCAAATTATTTTAAATTTAAAAATTTTTTTCGATTTTCGTTTTTCGATTTTCGTTTTTCGAGGTTATTTTTTTTTCGATTTTCGATTTCGAAGATTTTGAAAAATATTTTCGATTTTCGATTTCGATATTTTTGAATTTATTTCGATTTTCGATTTCCGATTTTCGAAGATTTTTTTGTTTCGAAACATCTCTGGTTTAAACTTGATTTATAAAAATAAACTTTAATTTTCAAGTTTAAACTTGATTTGTAAAAAAAGTTAAGTTTACAATTATTAAGTTTATTAAGTTTACAATTATTAAGTTTATTAAGTTTAAGTTTACAATTAAATTATTAAGTTTACAATTCGTCCTTTAAATGTTTTACAATATGCAGTCTAATAAACTTTAATTTTACAAACCAAGTTTATTTTTGTAATTCAAGTTTATTTAACAAATCAAGCTTGATCTTACAAAATCAAGTTTATAAGCTTTAATTTTTACAAGCTTAAGTTTTCAATTCAAACTTAAATTGTAAAAATAAACTTTGCAGAGTCTCTCTTATAAACCTAAGTTCACAAATCAAGTTTATTTTTATAATTCAAGCTTATTTTACAAATCAAGCTTAATCTTACAAAATAAAGTTTATAAACCTAATTTTGTGAAATCAAGTTTATAAACTTAAGTTTACTTAAAGGTTTATAAGCTTAATTTTATAAAACCTGATTTTCTAGCTTAAACTTAAACTTAAGTTTTATAAACTTAAATTTACAATTCAAACTTAAACTTATATTGAAAAAATAAACTTTGCAAAATTAAGTCTATCCCACTAACAATAATTATCAAGTTTACAATTCAAGTTTATTTAGATACTTAAAATGCAGAGTCTCTATAATAAACTTAAGTTCACAAGTTTATTTTTATAATTCAAGTTTACATATTTAACAAACTAAGTTCAATCTTACAAAACCAAGTTTATAAACTTAATTTTGTAAAATCAAGTTTATAAACTTAAGTTTACAAAAAAACAAAACCTGATTTTCTAGCTTAATCTTAAAATTAAGGTCACAAACTTAAGTTTACAGTTCCAACCTTATTTTTGTAATTTAAGTTTATTTTCTAAAAATTTGAATAAAAATTCTGAATAAAAAATATGAGATCTTCAAAAATAAAAAACTTTTTACAATTGTAAAATAATAAATTTATATTTAATAACATTTTTTAATCGTCATTCAAGAGTTCATTAATCATTTCCAACTGAGCCGAAATTTTAGGTGATAATTTTTCTCCATTATTTGAATTCATTAATTGTTGACATTCTGTATATTCCTTGTGAGCTGTCTGAAAAACACAAAAATTGATTTAAATTAATTTTTACATGGATTCTGAAAAGTCGAAAACTGAGTAATACAGTACCCCAAAAATATCACATTCTTAAAGAAATGGCTAGGAGACGTCTCAGAATAACCCTTTTCCAGTCTCGAAGCCATATTTTGCGTCATAACTTTTTTAATTTTTAACCGATTTGTATAATTTTAATACCATTCGAAAGCTCTAAATGTGGGGATTATTCTAACTAGCAGGATTGAGTTGATCAGATCACCCTACCTAAATTTACAGGAACTTATGCAGTTTGGGTACACACCCCATTTATTCGCGAGATACACTCCATTTATTAGGCAAATTGACAAGACATCCCAATTATTCGCGAGCTAGCAAGAAACCTTATTACAGCCTACTAAACAAAGCAGCTCTCGACTCTTGCGAGACGCGTGCTGGTTAACACCGCACGATGCGAGGAATTATGCCCATGCGTTTTTCCGACCTACATATGGTTACTTTGACCATTTTTAGCTTGCGAATATATGGTTTGTGTACCCAAACTGCATAAGTTCCAATTTACATTTGGTTAAGTGCATGCAATCATGATTTTTGATAGTTATTCGGCTATAACTTTAAGCAGAATGATCTGATCAACTCAATCTTCTTACTAAAATAATCTAATTCGGAAAAGGAGAGAAAAAAGAAAATGCTTAGAGTACACAAAACAATATTTTGTATTTTTTGGGAGTTGGATAATCTAAGGTCTTAATTAGAGATCTGACTACTTAATAAATGTTATTTTAATTTAAATTTGTATAAAGTTTAAATAAAATAACATTAAGTTGCGGTCTTAACTCGATCATCTTTTATTTTTGTAAGTTGGAGAGTCCAACTATAATTTTAAGTGTATGTTTCGGAGCAGGACTAAGAGTCGTAATTAACTAACACCTACCATAATAAGTCTATTCAATTGTTGAATAATTCCAATATATTTAGTGCCACACGTCAACAAGCCTCTACTCAAATATTTTTGAAATAGTTGATTATTCGAAGAGACTGGAGTATTCCCAACACTTCTTCCGCCACTTCTCTCCTCTTGAGACGATTTTTGAGGAGCCTCTTGAGGAGCTTCCTGAGGAGCTTCCTCCAATATTTCGAACAGCAAAGGGTGCCCATCCAAACTAGATTCACTGTTTACTGTCTCGTACTCACTCCCTACTAGTTGTTTGCCTGTTTTTTGTTGCAAACCTTGGTGTATACTGTGCTGTAGACTGTGCCGATGTTGTTGGGATTTGTCAGTAATTGCTAATACAATGGAGATGATTAATAGGGAAGAGTTGAGTTTAATGAAATATTTCATTTTGTAATTTTAAAATAATTTATATGGCTGGGTAAGCAAACTGAAAATACTGGAATAATTTTTAAAAATTGTAAAATTTGTATGGAGAGAAAAAATAGGTACATAACTGGGCTGTATCCGTGTGTAAGTACTGACCAATTTTGATGGACCATAACTTTTTTAGTCTTAATCCATTCCATATAAATGTTATATCATTCAAAAGCTCTCGAAAAGCGACATCTTTTTTCCAATAGGTTGGATCGAGTCTGATCATTCATTAAAAAGCTACGCCACAATAAGTGTGATAAAGAACGATTTTTTGCACTTATCAAGCTGTAACTTTTTAATGAGTGATCCGACTTGATCTAACTAGAAGGATAAAAGATAGCGCTTTTCGAGAGCTTTCGAATAGTATAATATTTGCTCTGATCGGATCAAGACTAAAAAGTTATAGTCGATCAAAGTTGGCTGACACTCAGTCAAAACCAGCGGAGATACAGTACTTGACCATTTTTAAATTTTCGTTTTAAAATTTTAAAAAGGAACTGGGAAGTATTTTATGAAAATGATGAAAAATGAATCTAAAATAATCCTATTTGTAATTTGAACTCATAATTAAAATATTAATTGAGAGGATATACAGGATATACCTCAAGTACATAGGCGTGAGGGGCAAAACAGGGTCCGACAATAAACCGACAAGACATTTGAGTAAAAAACTCGTCAAGACATTTGACCAAGTAAAAATAAATTCGATTTTTGTCGAGAATATCAAGTCTAGGCTCTACAAGCTACTCTAAGCGAATTCTAACTCTAAGCGAAATGGCCGGCAATTTTACACTAATATCTGGACCGTGTCCGGAAATTTGGGGAGTGGACATTTGGGGCGTGGACAAATGGGGAGTGGAAATTTGGGGAGTGAGCGGACATTTGGGGAGTGGACAATTGGGGAGTAAACATTTGGGGAGTGAGTATTAAAAAAAATAATTTAAAAATAGATTTTTTCGGACAATAAAAATAATTTATACACACGTGAAGGCGGTTTTGTGGAGTTTCAAAGATTTTAAAGATATTTTTATGTCTGTAGACGGTTGAGTAACCCATAAAAGTAGG